TCACACCAAGGTCACGGTTTGGGACACAACGGGAAGGGTTGGGGACCCCCCCCCAAGGTTTGGGGACCCCTTCGGATTTGGGAAGCCCCCCCAGGACTATGGGGAACACCCCCTGGGTTCTGGATCCCCCAACCCCTCCCCAAAAACCCCTCTCAGGGTCAAGGGGCACCCCCAGATTCCCCTTTTGGTAGAAATTGGGATCCCCCCCGGCACAACGAAAAGTTTTGGGGACCCCCAGCCCTGCCGGTGCCTTGGGGCAGCTCCCGGACCCTCCAAACCCCCCCAGGCCCTCCCGGGGACCCCGAATCGCCCCCCACCCCCCACTACTGGAGCCCCCCCAACCCGCAAGGCCCCGGTTCCCCCCTCCTGAGGTTCCCGTTCCTCTGAGAGCCCCTGGGACCGCTCAGACTCCCCCTTACCGAGCCGGGTGTCCCCCAGGCGGCCCCAGAGCCCGCGGCCCGGCCCGGCCGCCGCCGCCGCCATCACCGGACGGGCCCCGCACCGGGGGAGGGCAGCGGAACCAAAGCGGCGGCGCCGCGGGGCGGGGGGGGACGAGGACGGGGTGACACACGGCTCGGGCGGAACCATCGCGGCGGTGCCGCGTGGGGGGGGAAAGGGCGGACGGAACCAATGCGGCTTGGGGGGGTGGGGTGGGCGGGGTTGCGCATGCGCGGAGCGGCCCCACTCGGTTTCAAACGCAGCGCGCGGGACGGAGTCCTGAGATAAAAAGGGGGAAAAAAAATGGTGAAAAAATGGTGAAAAAATGGGAAAAACGGGAAAAACGGCAGGCAGGGAGGGAGGGGAGGTGAGCCCGGTAATGGGCAGGGGAGATTAACGCGGTGCCGGTGCGTGGCGGGGTCGGGGGTCCCGTGTCCCCCTCAGGCCTCTGCGTTGCCCCCCGGGCCCGGGCTGAGACCCCCAAACCGAGACCTTTTCACCCCAAAAACCTCGGCGTGCCCCTGCTCCTGTGGGGATCCCTGTCCTCCCCTGTCCTCTCACCCCTTGATCGCAATTTCCCCCAATCCCAGTTTTCATTAAACATCTCCTTGTGGGAATATCCCTTAAAATCCTTAAAAATCCCTGCTGGGTTTGGCGGCAGAAGGCAGCTCTGGATCGCGCTGCCCTCATTGTCTGTCACTGCTCTATTTCCTTTCATTTCTCCATCCTTTTTATTAATTTCTCCACCCCTTTCATTTTTTTCTCCACCCCTTTTATTCCTCCATCCCCTGACATTTCTCCATCTCCTCTCCTCTCCCCATCCCTTTTATCCCTCCGTTCCCCATCATTTTCTCCATTCCCCGTTATTTCTCCATCCCCATTCTCTCCCCCTTTTCCCCGCTGCCCTGCAGGACCCGGAGGCGTTTCCCCCGGTGGAGGAGCTGAAGGAGCTGAGCCAGGAGCTGCTGCAGAAGGTGAGCTCGGGCTGCACCGAGGAGCTGCTGCAGCGCGGCCTCGAGTGCCGGCAGCGCCTGGACACGCGGCTGCAGGACACGCAGAGGAGGGCCCGGTGCCTGGCCGAGGGTGGGTCACCCCGAAATGTCCCCAAAACGTCCTTATTCCACCCTAAAATGTCCTTATTCCACCC